TGAACATGATGCTTTTATATTATTGGTGCTCTATCGTAGCGCAACATGTTTAGAAGATGGTACATGGTCATATTCCACTAGGTCCTGCTTTCAGAAATTTAACGAAGAATATCCTGACCGCCACTTCATTTATAAAAACCTTGTTAGTCATAAGAACCGAATTATCGAACGTTTTGAGAATAAGAAGTGTATTTGGAAGGCCAAACCAACAGGTCGTTCATCAATTTGAAGTGTGGAAGCGATCGAAGATATACGACAACGTATGGAGCAGAACTGCAGAATCCTAAGAAATCAATTTCCAAACTATCGAATCAGGCTGCTAAGTGTACCTAATTTAATATAGAAACGATAACATCTTTCTTTGCGACCGTTCAATTATAGAACAGAACTATCTTGGATCTTGGTGTGAAAAAGCTCGTAATTTTGTGGAATACCTGGGAAAACGCATTACCAATATTTAAGGATAAGTATTGCCATACAACGTGGCAACGCGGCCAACTACGATCCCCATGGAAGAAATTTATTATTTATATGAATGTTTAATTTGTTTAAATAATCGTTTTTTCGGCAGACAAGGATATTTTCAGCAAGATGGTACAGCAAACGTCACTCTTCAGTACCTACAATACTCTTACGATGATGGTTTACCTAAGCAGCAGAGGTTTATGGCCTTCCCGTTCGCCAGATTTAACCCCGCTAGATTTTTTCCCCATTAAAGAATAACATTTTTTGAAATCGCTTGCATAGTGCATACTCTTGAAGAACTTTAAAATACGATCGTAGAAGAGGTAATGAACATCACACCGGCAATGTTAGAACGTGTATTAGAATTAAATTCAGCGGTCGCGCCCAGTTTTAGGACATCAGTGGTCGCGCGCGGACTATCAGTCCGCATTAGGAAAATACACATTTTAGTACGTTTATTCAAAAAATTTCTTTTCTTTTGTTTCTTTGTTGGTAATCACTTCTCTCGTCACTGCTATTAGCAAATAGAAAAGATTTGGTTGATTAAAGTATTTATTATTACAATTTAAACAATATTCTCCCAATTTGCAGTTTCAAAACAAGTGTCACAAGTTATTGTACCATGTACTAAACCTACATAGGCATAGCATTTTTTTTTGTAATATCGTGTAGGTCTGTTCGTTTTTCAATCACACATTGAATTGTTCGTTTTTGTACGACCGCATTCTTATTTCTTTAGCCATAATCGAACAATAACGCCAGTGGTCACTGCGGACTCACTAACAAATAATCGAACCTAATGAGTTCAGCGTTTGCGAGCCTACTAAGTACATAATTTCCGAAAGGTAGACAACGCGGCGTGGCTACAAAGGGGGTAGGTCGCGTACAATTCCACTCCAAATTTGCGCGCGGACTCACCGATGGATGACCGAACTGGTTTTTATCAATTTTCTCAACCAATTTATAAAATTGGTAAAATGCTCTCAAGAAAAGAAGTGCCTCGTAATCCAGACAAACACGATAGCCACATTTCTCCTCAGTCCATAAAATTATGCAAAACTAATGGAATAATATTATTGTCACTACCACCACACGGTCTTTGGTCCTTTTAAACAATTCTACAACGAACAGGCCGATGTGTGGATGGTAAATAATCCAGGCCGAACAATACCTTTGCGAGATAATCCCATCAAATCTTATAAAACGATTTCTAGCAACAGGAATCTATCCCTTTAATGCACTCATACTATGCGATAAAAATGAGTTGCTGTCGAGTCACCTTTGGAATTTTTGTTTCCATGGGAATCGTACTTAACTTGAACTTCCAAAGGCGACTCGACAACAACTCATTTTTGATCGCCCGTTATTTATTGAGACAGAATTTTTAAGCGCAGAAGTAAGTAACTGTTCCTGAACAGATTCGTCATTACAAACCACAGAAGCACCGAGAACCCATGCTGACCCAAGTACATCCCAAGGATCCCAAGATGTCGTGCTTTCAAATGAACTCAATATGTTAGCGAGAACAAAATTGAGGGCAACAATTCATTAACTCAGTTTCTGAGTCCAGAACAAATCCGACCTCACTCTATAGCACCACCAAGAAAGAAAAAGGGAGGCAGAAAACCAGGAAAATCCAGAGTTTTGACTGATACACCAAAAAACTTGCTGTAGAAGAAGAATTTCAAAACAAACAAAATAAAAAGCTGGCGAAGAATAATGCTGACCAGGTAAAAAGGACTATATTAACTAAAATTTAAAACCAGATGCCGACAAAGATAGAATTGAGAAAATATAAAAGAGAAGGCTTGAAAAAGAAATATGTGTGACCAAGGACAGTTCCGATAGTGAAGAAATGAAAATGGAAGGTGAAAAATATGAAGATCTGACCTGCATTTCATTATATTATTTTCCAAACTACACGAACACTGGATTCAACGCCAACAGTGTTCTAACTGGTCCCATACAGAATGTGCAGGTGCTAGTGGAGCAGCTAAAATATGCATTTGTGACATATGAGTTACACGAACTTTGTTATGTTATTTTTTGTTATATGTCTCAACGCTCCCTATATGGAGTATCTATCCTCCCACATATGGGGAGGCTCGAGACATTTTACACATTTTTAAAAAGTTTGGTTTGTTTATTGTTACCTACATGTTTAAGTTAAAAACATTTGATTTGATTTGGTTTTTCAAAATGGAAAAATTGTAATGAATACGGATATTATCTGTACTAACCTTGGAGAAGTCGTTGCAGTGTTGTGAATAGAAAAATTGAAACTAATGAGTGGTTCTCCAATTTCATTTTGATGTTTACGAAGAATGCATAAAATGCTATAAAATATGTACACTTGCACACCTTACTCCTTATAACGATAGCTAAAAAGTACCGAAAAATAGCAACACTAAGTATTCCTCTCATGGAGCACAAATGGTTCTTCCACGTGTAATATTGCCGCAAACAAGAGGTTTTAAAGTTCCCTCTAAAAATAATGAATTTGAGCTACTCCAAGCAAATAGTAGTCTTATGAGCCCATGAGTTAACAGTTAATACATACGGTCGAGGGAAATAAGGAATTTAGTTGTGAGTGCAGTCAAAGTAATGTTGATGATGTTGAAATGTTCCCAAGGACGATTCCCGTCATGCTTTTGTTTATGCTGAACCTACCAAAGCTTAATTTATTTTATCAAGTAGGGAGGTATTTGAATCCTATTGAACTAATTTAAGAGTTAATTTGTGTATTTTTATTATAATCACAGATATTTAAGATGATTGGTTTCTAAACATCCTTAAAACTACAGTTAATGGATCAAAAAACTTTAACCTTTTTTTTCCAAAATAAAGGTCAATATGTGTAAGATAATGTATGGAAGAAAAGTTCTATGTTTAGATTAAATATTAATCGAAATATTTTGTATAGTTAGTCAGTTTTAACAACCGATCATTTTGTGACTATATAATAGTGAAGGTAACAGATTTTGAAAAATTTTTCAAGGCGTTATTTAGTGGCTTCATTCTTGTACATTTCAAGAACAGTCTAAGTAGGTGTAACATTTCTTCCAAATACCGAAATTTTTTGACTCTGTTGAGTTGGTTGATACCTACGTGTAGATTCAATCTATAATATGTTCCACCTAGAAAGAGACTTTGGTAGCTCCCGCAATTACGTGAATGCAATAGAAACTTCAAAACTTGCAAATTAAGAAAACAAAGGTATATAATTATGCAAATTACTGTACATTTATTTAAATATTGATATGGGTAGGGATAGTTAACGCAAACACTACTAACAAGATGAACAGATTGGATGTGTCATTGCGCGTATAATACCAATAAATTCAGTACTATCTATTTATTATATGGTTTGAATGCATTTGTATTGTGTGGTACCTATACCGTTATTATACTATTAATATAACTATAAAATGATAATAAATAAATGAATAATTAATCAATTATTATTATTATAAATAGCAATTATTATCATTGTTCATTTGGCAAGTTTGATATATATTTCTTTATGGTATGGTCTTTTAATATAAGGTAGATATAGTGCCTTCTTCTCTTGGGTTCCATTTCATTGAAAACCGGAACAAATTTCTTAATATTTTCTCTTAAAAAAAGAATAAATTCGCTTGCCCAAAATACTTTTAATTATCACCAAGGAGATATTAATTTCGATATTAATAAGTACACTAACATAACTACTAAGGTATTTAATAGACAATAACAAAATCATCGTGACTATTCAACGATAAAGCGAAAACCGCGAGTAATGTCAACGGCTCTTGTAATCACCATGCATGCAGTCTAAACAAATGACTCATTCAATACACTATCAATCAATTTCTAATAATCGCAGTTTTAGTTGATTTAACGGTAGTTAATGCCTATGCCGGTAGCACAGATTAATCGAATATCAATGATACAAAGCTAATAATCTCCGACAAAACTTTAAAACTCCAATAGTAGTTTGCCAAGACTTCCTCACCACATTCGTCCATTACAATTGACTCTGATGATTTCAAAGCAACAATTCAACAGTGATTAATATACAAACGATTGCATTCTTGGTGTGTCATATTGCGAATCATTTACTATTAAACAGTTCTTGGATACAATCATGAAAAACGATGATTAACGCGTTAACATTTTTTAATAACAATTGAATAAATTATATTCGTCTTTTTTCTCATCAAAAAAATCAGAATAACTGTTTCTATATCCCTTTATTCCAAGATAGATGTTTATAATGTAAATACGAGAATTGAAATGATTAATGGTTAGTTCAGCGGTGTGACTTAAAATGTAAGCTTGCCTAATGTATATATTTTTCGTAAGTATACACTAGTGTGTATACGACAATTTCCTAGTGGAACGAATGTGAACATATACATTGATAGTCCCTGGTTAATGGTAGGTAGTGCAAAGGTTTTACAAAGGATTTCTGTCTTTGGTAAGTTCACGATCGCATAATTCGGCAAATGTTTAACTTTTTTGAGACCTTACAGAGTGGACAAAGAATGACTTACCCTGCTGACTGTTTTTTCTAGTGGTCTTCTTCTCTTTCATCCAAGGGTATTCAGGCACATTTACACCGGGAGAACCCAATCCGTGCGTAACGTCCATGGAATATGGTCCACTGGGCGGCGTATGCTGCGGACTTAGTGGCGTTCCGTGGGTCATCTCTCCAGAAAGATGGGGCAAAGCGGTCATAAACTCCGCCATAGACGGTTGGCTGTTAATGAACCCTGTCTCGTTACATCCTTCGAGTGGAAGCCCAGCGTGCGTCGCCCCCGAGGCAGCGGAGACGGCGGCTAACCAAAAGCCGCCGGTCCCGGATCCCTCGGGGGTAGCAGGTCGCGTCTTCACCGCCACGTATTCACCTTCCTCCAGGTGTCCAGCCGGCATCCGATGAGGATGTTTAATTCGCATTGATAAACTTGCACCTCTTTAATTTATCCGCACTAGTCACTAGGAACCATCACTTCATACGTCGGATACGTCACTAGAAACCAACTTAAATCACCGCGCAATGTAATTAAATTTTAAGGCAAAACACTTCTTCGCTAAATAATAGAGCTGAAGGTCGCGTTGATCACATTGCAGGTAACCCGCAAGAGGGTAAAGTTACGCGTGAGGCCGCGAAAATTTACCAATCCTTCGTGAAACCAGAAATAGGAAACGATTGTTACGTGTATGTTCATAGTTACTGTTTAGTGACGGTTGTTTTTGTTTCTTTTCCCATTCAGGAGGATGATGGCCGGTCACGTGAGAATTTAACGAGCCAATGACAAGCGTGCGTTCTAACCCTCTCTGAAGAGGCGGTGGGCAGGCACGGATTTCGAAGGCGGGTTTCTGTTTGCGTGACGAGTTGTGGGCAATTATATACAACAAAAATTTTTGTAAAGGACAAAAAATTGTAGTTGCATCTAAGAAAATTTTAAGGTTAACTTTTTTTTATACCCGTAAGCTATTACGCGTATAACAATTAAACTTCCAAAATATGCGAAAGGTAAATGTCTAGCAAAAAACAGATTATGTAATCGCGCAAGGAGTTCAAACTGTAGAGGTGTTGTATCGCTCAAATCGTACTCGCAGAACGTTTCGAGACGCATGCAGGAGTTGCATGCACCGCGTGGATGACGATGCGCTGTTAAATACCAAAGGACAGCGACGAAAGCGTCGAGACGACTATTGACGACGCGCGCCACTTGTGCGATTGGAGGGGTGCAAGTATCCCTTATCGCTTAATATTGGTTTAAATTTAATTTTTATTTCACATTTCAATTTCATATCTTTATATACCTATACAAACAAATACTAAAAATATGCTGATCGAAAAAATTCCTTTATAATTACCTATCCAATAGTAATAATTTGGATTACCTACCTAAGCTTTTGGCGTATATCAACACGGAAAAACAAATTAATTGCCGAAATAGGCAGTCTGTTATGACCACATTGAAAACACATACCTACCCACTTATTGCCATAATTAGCACACAATCATAAATTTTATTTTTGCAAACAAATTCATGAAGGTTAACTTGATTAGGTAGGTCGTTACCTACTCTACAGGACATGACATCACCATTTTATACTGAAGAAGTTCAAAAATGCTAGTATGTACCTACTGCAGAGACGAATCAGGAGTAGGACCTCATCTTTGTCAATACAAGCACTGAAATTTAGGGACGTATGTACTTTTAAAGGAATTGAAGCGGAAGTGCGTATGCTTACTCGGAGATTAGATATTAGATAAAGATGCTAATGCACCTTTGTTCTAATCAGCGTATGTAGAACCTTTAACTGGAAGTTCAGAAACAAACCCAATGTAGGGAGGTCATATCAATTTTTCAAAACCTCTACTAGCATCCCTTTTTTTACACACATTACCTATCTATATTTATTCCGTTAATCTTTCAATATTGCACTTTAAACTTTCACGTTTCAGACAGTAAACAACGATTAGAATTCGTACTAGGTATATGCAGAAGTGTACGAATTAATTACCAACGAAGTAAAAGTATGCACACAGTTTTAGCACAGAAGTCAAAATACACTAGATAACATAACGGCACATTGTCAATTAAAGAGCGTACCAAGAATAAATCTTGAGCTTTCGAGAAAATGTGTTAAGATACAAAATACAACCATGTGTCTTGAGACGGCCACCGCACTGTCCAAGTAAGTATGTAAAGTGCTTGGTGTGGCGAGTGAAGGGCTAAAGGGTTGACTCATTTCCTGACCAGAACTTGATTAATGATGCCTAATAACAAGGCCGGGGGCACTACTCAGATTATGGATGTTCAAACCGTATTAGTATCTACTTGAAGGGGATACTGCTTTTGACGGTTTTCATTATAAGTCTGTATATACATAATTTTTTATGTTAAACATCGACGTCGGATTTTTACATAATTAATGGGGATTGGGAAAAATTTTAATTTCATTTCTTGTACTTTTGATAGAAGATTATTTGACATTCAAATTAACCTTAAGAAATAACGACTGTTTCTATTCCAAGATTAAAAAAACTTAACGAGCTTACCTCCATTACTTTTAAAAATGTAAGGTACGGGTACCTACGTATTTCCACTACGTCTTTGACTACGACATATTAATAAGTAAGCTCGCGTTTTAATTAATAACCAGAATTAATGTATATAGAAGCAAAACATGAACACATTAATATGCTCTCATTTATAACATGTGTTGATTGTTAAGACTCAATCTGACATATAGCTAGGTGAGGTTATTTAAAGCGGGGTTTACACTTAGACCATACAGTACGCTACTAATTGCAACTAAAATATGGTCAGGACATCGTCTAGGGCATAATATGCGAGTATCACGGTAAAACGAGTCTGTCCGAACTTGTCCGATGAGACACGATTTGAGACTGTCAACCTTTAAATTAACAAACGACTATTACATGCCAGTAGAATAAGCCATCATTTCAGACGAATCGGATTTAAATTCTACAAAAGATTTATTGTTTTAATGGCTGTATTTGTTGACTATCCTACGTTTTCCCCCTCGGCGGGGTTGTGAATCATGGAGGGTAAAACGTACCTATAAATAAGGGTATTTTTAAGGTTTTACGGTAATATCTTGTAAAAGACCCACAATATCGAAAACTTAGCCCTATTAAAAGTTTTACGGCACTAAATTCTGCATTAAATGAGACCGATCGATATTATTTGGATCACCCGTTCCCATACTCGAAGTTGAACAAATGTTACATATCTTAGAAAACCTAGCTTTTGTCCTTGCGACTTCGTACGCGTATAAACATTACCCTCTGTCTTAATTCTGTTTTTTCTCGTTCCCGTGGGAATTTTGGGAAGTTCTTTCGGAGCTAGTTTCGGAGTATACCTTAACCCCTTCAAAGAAACCCTCGTTTTAAATGTTTAGACGTAAAATCCCGTTTTTCCCGTTTACGTAGGAATTTTGGGAAATCCTTTTTTAGTAGTGCTCCCCCCTTTGTTATGTCTATCGGCACAGGAGTCATCAGAGATGACTCTATCAACTGCCATAGGGTCTTTGAAATTGGCAATTATTCAATGATCGCCCTGATGGTTAATCAAACATTTGACAAAGTCAAGTTTGTCCGCAAAAATAGAGTAAAAAATGACATTTATTTATTTATTTATTTACATTAAGGATTCAAATCTCAGGTGAACAATGAGGGTGAACCAAAGTGCGACAAGTGTGGTGTTTGATGGTTACCCGGAAACAGAATTTTTGAACAAGTGATAATTATCATTCACAATAACAAAATTTATAGTTAAAAGTATGAAGAAAAGGGGAAAAAATAGATATAGTCCAGTCAAATTAGCGCAATTTTGGACAAATAAACACATTAATCGGTAAAGATCTGAATTTTGGTATACACGTGTATTGAGGCTTTCTATTGTACATACGAAAAGCCCCTGTCAAAATCTGTTGCGCTCGAGCCCCCATCTTGGAAAAACGGTGCACTTTGTCAGATTTTTGCCCATATATCTCGGCAACTATTATTGATACGAAGAAATAGTTTAGATGAAAAGTATAGTTTACTAAATTCCCTACAAAAAAGTATACCTATTAACTTTTTTTTGTTTTTCCAATAAGTAGGTACTTTCGCTGTAGGTAATCTCACGTTGAATACGTCAGAACGCGATTAGGGCCCGTTTCTTAGTTGTACATTAAAAAAAAAATTGAAAAGAAGTAGGGGGAGAATATTATCACGGGAAAAAAAAAGTTAGTATTGTTTGTTTCCGAAATACCGGGTATAAAATTTTGTCGAATCACTTGCATTTTTATTTTTTCTTATTTAACTGGATATAGTAGAAAAGTACACAAATTTTACAGACGTCGACGTTTGATTGTCGTTAGGCCATTCGGCTCCTCAAAGTTTGTTATTTCCGATACGAAGTCCGTCTCGTCATCACTCGGCTTCTCAAAGTCTGTAATTTACATCGCCCCATATATGCAGTCATGCAGTCCAGGTCTTGGTCGTCAATTGTATCTGGTTGGAGGGAGTTGGTACAGGAGTTTCTCTTGCAGTATAGGCACAAACCATTGAGCCCTTAATTCCAGCCTTCCACAACCACATGCACACCCCTTGTTGCATTTGCAAAAAAATGTGGAAAGAAGAGACTGTGGACCTGATTCCTTGGGAGGTTGAAACTGGGTCAAAACCAAACTTTGAAGCTTGCCATCCCCAGAGAATTAGATGTATCTGGTTTTCTAACCACATTTGTATTGGAAGGTAAGTTCTAAAGCAATGTTGCGGGCTGCTTGGGATGTTGGTGGTAGGGATGCCAGGTTGAGTTTGGATTTTACGAGGGCTTTGGAAAACAGGTAAAACCTCAATTTACTTAAAGTATCTCTTGAGCCATGGTCACCACCATTGCTTCAGTGGCGGCGCTCAGCCGATGATTTCTGTACTGATAGACATAACAAAATTAGAGAAAGGATCATGGGATTGAAACCACTCAATAATCTTCTGAAGGTCTCCAAAGCCGAAACTACTACTGGACGTAGAAAACTGAAAATTGGCATGTAGGTTCATTGGGGATTGGAGGGGGAGCACTAAGAAATTCTTACGAGAACGGGGAAACGAGATTTGAAGGTGTTAGGTAGACTCCGAAAGCACTTCCCGAAATTCACACGGGCAATGTTTATGAGCGCACGAAATCGCGAGGACAAAGGCTAGTTTTTTATAGATATATAACATTTCTTCAAATTCGATTAGCACTGGTATGGGAACAGGGGGTCCAAATGAAATGGGGTCGGGCTTCATTCAATGCAGAATGCAATGCCCCAAACCTTTTAATGGAGCTATATTTTCAATATTGTGAGTCTTTTACAAGATATAACTGTAAAACCGCAAAAATACACTTTTTGTATGTACACTGTTAGCTCCCACCACTTAAGCACACCGTGGGTGTAGGATAATCATATTGGATAACAAATGAAGCCATTAAAAGTGTAAAACCTTTTGTAGGATTTAAATCCGATTTGGATTTTAATCCTACTGGCCTATTCATTAATCGCCTAGATATTCCAAAAAAGCTGATTTTTACGCCATTCGAATAGTGTTAACACGACTTTAGTTTACCTTGAGATTCACATACCGACCACTACGGTGCCAGTGGCGGATTCAGCAGGGGAAAATTTGCCCCTCCGACAAGTCCAGAAAGGCTTTGTGAAAAGACAAAAAACATCATTTTAAATGAAATGCTAGAGGTAGACAATTTCATTTGCAGTGTTTCCATCACATTCCCCGCTTTATATCTTTCTGAAGATGTGCACTACCATTGAATAAGTAACGTGAGGCAGCATACACCCTGTTATAAGAGCTACTAAATCACCCACAAGCAACCGCCCAGTTACTTCAATTAAACACAATATCTACTAATAAAATTTTTTATACTAAATGATTGCACTTTTTCTAGGGCACGTCCAACATACGCTACTATGAAAAATCTCGATTCAATTTTATTAATTTGAGATTATAAGCAGCGTTACCTACATCAACATTTCCATGGAATTATATTACAAATTTTTATTTAAACACCTGCCATAACCCTGGTACCAATAGAAAAATTAGCATGGGAACTCTTATCTAGGTCGTAATTTGCTTGATTGAACACAACATGGAACAGGTGAAACAAGTGCAAGTATTCGGCATAAATTCAACAATAACGATGTAAGAGAGAGAAGCACATAAGGCTTGTAAACAAAGTACCGTCGACCAGCTATCTATTGAACAAAATTTAATGTAAGTAAAGTTTTAACACACAACCGCGCAATATCAAAAAAGGAAAATAAATATGGGATGGGTTTGTCGATCAGTCTGCCCCTTTGTTCCTCGTCTAACTCGGGAACGAAAAGAGACAGTGATGTCAAACATTCGCCAATCGATTTCTACGAGTTCAGGGATCAGTGCTATTGAATATGAGCCGGATTAAAAATCTGGTTTTCGAATACGAACTGCTTCGTAACTTGTTGAAAGATATCTCATCTATTTTTAAAAGTGCTATGGTGAGGGGGTAAATTCACTGATTCATATACTCCTCATGTTCTAGACTCAGGCTTCCTAGTTTGTAGCACAAGGTAAATGAAATACACGATAGAAAATAATAAGGTTTATTTCTTAACACGGAAATGAACCCATTTTCACTCACACTCCACACAAACAATAAATGCGCCATTGCAATAAGAAAGCGTACGAGCATTCCAGGATATAGTCCAATGGCATTTTATATCAACAAGAGAAGTAAGTTTCAATAAATTGAAGAATGAACAGATTTTGTTATTTGGAAAACTTTATGCCCAAAGATATTACTCAAGAGTGTAACGCATAATCTGAGCAAACCCTGGTCAAACTCTATAAAGGCTGCACGGACAGACCTGTGGTCTTCCTAAATTGTTAGTTTCTACCACGGAATCAAGGCTCAGGTGATCGTGAATAATTACTCAACGAGTCGCTTGCATTGTTATACCTTGTAACGTATGTTACAAATTTACTTCTCCTCCTCCTTTCTGTCTATGATACTCTTATTTCGTAACTAAACTGGGTATTGTTATGTAATTATATTGATATTCCTCGGCAACTCGTTGGTTAATAACTCTCTTCTCGCCTCTCCAGGATAAGGGTAAAGCGTTTGCAAGTTTGCAATTAGATAGTTAAATCATTTTTACAATATACCGCGTGATCCAAAATGACTGCGGACAGTTTAATTTAAACGAAATAATTTATCAAGAACAGTTGCACGCTCCAGTTCATGTATTCAAAAATTTACCCGAGGAGTAGTGATGCTAATTAAACGATCACCGTTTAGTTCTTGTCAGTGAAAAAATATTTTCCGGAAATATCGGGAGTAGCTAGTAACTTCGTTATTTTAAATAGCAACCCTTATTTTTTATTGCATTTTTGGGTTCTATACGTGCAATTTCAGTTCTTTTGATATCATGTCGTTACTTACAATATGATGTTTAAATTATTTTGACTGACGGATGCAGACGGTACCTTGAAAATTGATTACTTGAAAACGGTTATAGTTACTGCAGCCCATTTTTACCACTGCATAGACTAATAATATGGCTTTATTTTAATGTACTTAAAAAAAATTAAATAGCGCAAGACCGCACCTACGGAGATCAAAATTTGAAAGACTAGAAACTGTTTTCATGTCCATGTTCATTGAATTGATACAATTTCTTTTTCGAAGTTTGTTTTTAGTATGTTTTAAATTGTCATTAAAAGGTAAACTTTTATTGTTATTTAAACCACTCATGTCATTTATAAACAGTGGTAGAAGCACGAACCTTAAATAGAACCCCTGCAACACTCTTGAGGTCGAAGAGTAACGTGGAATAACTAGCACCATGTAGTAATACAATTTTCGTAGCTTTACATGAGTACACCATGCGAATTTGAAACTGATGACTGGAAAAACATTAGCATACGTCCTATAAGGCAACCCATGTTGTTTGCAGGAAATTTTCGGATTACTTGAACATACACGTGCTATTACAAGACAAGTTGGAGGAATTCGATATAACAGCACAGGAAGTGTCTTGTACCTCCAAGCTTCCATAGATCCATTAAATAGCAGACGGTTTCCTCTACTAACTCTGCAGTATCGTCAAAAATATTGCAGCGGAATTCTTCATACTGCCCAAGTGGAGTTGCCTGCGAGTGTTTTCTGCGTTTTAATGAAACCATTCCTCATCTGAGAAAGAGAGTTCCTCCAATAACTTGTTGTGCGAACCAGATACAATAACTTAAACTCCACTGAAACCATAATTTGCAATTTTTGCAGTAGGTACTGTTGCTTTGTATAAATACTATACAAACTAAATACTATAAATACTTTTAAAGAACAGCTCAATATTGATTATGCGAAGTTGACTGTATGATTTTGTTAAGGATCAACGTCTTTCTTGCTAAATTTATGTGTACGAGCCCTTTTAGTGTTATTAAACAGATTTTACAAAGTAAATACGACCACGGGAATATTGTCAATTGCTTCAAAGAATAGAGGTATGTCTTATTACCTAAAACAGCAAGAAATGAACAATATTTCGAAGAAATTCTGTGAAAATCGTATTACTTAGTTTTTTAGATACTTTTCTATACTAAACAAAAAGTTATGGAGTGTTATACCTACAGAGTGGCGGAAAAGTATGGAATCGGCGAGCTACAGCCTTAACCATTCGTTATATTGAAAAAAGTGTGAGATGAAAGTTATTTGATATTATATTATGCATTTTTTGACGAATATGGATATTTTTTCGAATTACGTCATTTTAAGTTATGTCATGTTGAGCATATTTTTTAAATTGAACACCCTATATTTGTTTAGTTTTTTATGATCCTCTAAACTAGGTGCTTCAAAACGGTATAGGGTTTTAACATTCTGAAGTTCTCAGATTTCAAGACATTTGAGTTTTTATATGAATAATTGGCTCATCAAAAATTACTCAATAACGTCAGTATATAGTGCCAGTTGTCAGTGTGTCAGGTTTAGTAAAATGGTTCATTTATCCGAGAAAGAGCGAGTAACAATTTTAATGATGGTTGGGTATGGAGATCGGATGCAATATGAAATACATAAACCTCAATGTTTTGATTTAATTACTGCATTAAACCTAAAATATCTTGAAATCTGAGAACTTCAGAGTGTTAAAACCCTATACCATTTTGAAGCACCTCGTCTAGAGGATAAAAAAAAACTAAAAAAATAAAGGGTGTTCAATTTAAAAAATATGCTCAACATGACAGAACTTGAAATGAAGTCATTCGGAAAAATATCCGTGTACGTCAAAACATGCATGCAAACAACTTTCATCTCACACTTTTTTCAATATAACGAATGGTTAAGGCTGTAGCTCGCTGATTCCATACTTTTCCGCCACTCTGTATAGCTTACGCATAAAATATATTATAATGCATTCATAAATGTTTTTTATGTACAAAAAGTAAATTGCGACCTGACACACTAAATGCTCCTCGATTGGTCATTCATGATTCACGATTAGGTACCTACACAAAGCGTGGTCAAAGTTGCCAATGTACCTAAAGCTATAACCTAAAGTATAAATTCGCAACTTCTATAATCTCGATCTTCGTGAAAAACTACCGAAATAAAACAGCCTTGATTTAAATAAATGATCCAGCTAATGAACTTTGCGGCGAACGGTGCAGTTCTCGTTTGAACGGATAACATGAGCTTAAAAAAAGGTGAGCTAAGATAGGATACCTCGCCGACAAAACAATTAGGTAAGACCCTTGCGCGGTCCCGGCATCCGGTGTCGGTACATCAATTAACTAAAATTTGTCATATTAAGACGCGCCCTGTAAACCACGTGGAAAAGTTCCTGCTAATATCTTTTTACACTTATTCTGTAGTGTTGATTGCGTTTGTACTAAATGTAGGTGTAGACATATAGTTAATTTAGCTATTGCAGTTTTAGCTTCGAGTTAAGGTACCTATGTATGAGTTCAGTCTTACATCAACACACAAACACATTAGTGAAGCGGGAGGATAATTCGTTTAAAAGGGTTTCTAATTTAGCAGTTGATGATGGCACTGGCATTAGTAGACTCAGTCGTTCTTCGACATTCATTCCGCAGTGTAACGTTTAAATTATACATAATTCGTGAACAAAAAAAAGGTGTATAATAGTTTCTCTATTACGTTTACCCCGCAAGTAAAATCAATACCTCGAAGTCGGCGCTGGTTTCTCACAATCGATCAACCAAATTGGAAGTAAATGTCATATTTGAATTTGTAAAAAAAATCTGATACAATATACATCAATAGATATGGTACGTGTTTCTCATGTTTTAACGCATGTACATGAAGGGACGCTTTTTCTAGCATGAGGACATATTTGATGGATGGTTGCCAGGAGTGACGCTTGGATTCACGTTTCCTCCAATACCTAATAAAAGCAGGTAATAATAGTTTACTAACCTTCGTTATTGCTTCTATTTGCCGTATCGTTACTTTAAATAATGTGTCGGTACCTACCATTGTTTTGTAAATTCTAACGTTTGCAGTTTATAAAATAAACTATATACTGCTGTCACAGCAGGGTTGAAATTTTCAGCTTGAGTATGTCCAACTGGTTCTCACTCTCATGTGTTGCAATCAGTGGAACATGTGTGAAACTCTTGATTGACATGTAGGTAGATACATATTTTCAAGGGTGACAACTGTCTTTCATAACCACAAATAGAAACGCTTAGTGTCTCTCTAATTTCTAATATGTGGTACTTACTACTTAGTACTCAATGCACAATAGAATGAATAGGAAGATTACTTAAGACTGCTGACTAGTAGTTGAGATTTGAGAAGTTACTCGAATTTAATCGCAACACATGAAAGCTGAATCAAATGCGGGCTGCATAATTCAGAAGAGGAAAACTGTGAATTTTCAAATGTTTTTCCGGAACGTACAGTGTCAAACCATGCGCATCAGCGCTGCCGGTTTTACAAAAATCATTAGTAACAATTTGAACAAATAAAGCACATAATTGCGTTTCGGAATTTGAATTTAATGTTCACAACATTATTTTTTAATTTACACCTATCGACCGAACAATCAATACCTACACATATTACATTATTACCGTTCGTGTTTGTAATGCATGCGTGATTTTAAATACTCAGTCTGATTTCATATTTTATACTAAAAATAAATTTCATTCAATAAGAAATTCATGACACTCAACTGCAAAGAAAATAATTAAACAATTCACATCGTCAAAATTCGTCTTATGATCATGTTCTTTAAACCAGCGAAAATCTGTACATAAAGAAACACTTTCATTTATAACATGAGGAACCGCTCAATGCATTAGGAACATAATTTTTTGTCATTTAGCCAATGGCTCGTTTCATACCCTTAACAAACAACGTGTACTGATTTATGGAAATGACGCGTTGCTTCAATAACTCTTGTTAATTACCACCGTTGTATAGACGTTCGAAAAATGGGTGGTTGCGTTAATGAACAAGATTCGTAGTTATAATGGATAGAATTTTTAGGTAGTGGCGTTTCTTAATATAATAATTGTCAGTAATCACCATGAATATACATTATTGATCTAGTAGAAACATTTCTATCGATACCAATTATTTCCTTCATGTAGTACGATACACTTACAACGGTATGCTCTTGCGCATCTAGCGTGACGTCACGTGCGAACAAAACCACAGAATATAGAGCAAAATTACGCTTCTTAGATCGCAAATCACATTGATTTGTGTAGAGATCGTCGCGGCGGGTATTTCTGGGATTTCGTGAACGTACGAAATAAACTAACCAAAAATGTTGGCCCTAAACATGAAGTGCGGCTTTTTCAGTAAATATTATGTAATTAATGCGTTATCAAAAGATCGAATCTCTCCTCAGTTTCCGTTTTATTTTGATTTTTAGCGCATTTTCACAAAAAAAAACGCGCTATTGTGGCCATTTCGTCCGTCCGTCCGTCCGCTCGTTCGTTGAGACGCTACTAGTTCTTTATCTTAAGAGCTACTGTTCTAGTTTTTTCGCTATTTGGTTCGTTATGGTGTCGAGGCTTGCACCAAGGAAGGAATTTTTTCTGCGTTTATTGCTAAAAAGTTATTGTAAAAAAAAACAAAAAACCGTTTTTTACATGTTCCAGAATTTTACACTTTTGCCGTTTATTAACGATCCTAGAGATCGTTTATAATTTTGTATTGCTGTCTGCCGTCTGTCTGTTGGTCTGTCCGTCTGTTCCTTTGCCTGTCTGTTCCTCTATCTGTCCGTGTGGACGATAACTTTGTTTAGAAATGTCCGATCGCTTTGACATCTCCGTTAGTGAACTGAATTGCATGAAATTCCATATGGGCATAGCTTTAGCCATATAATACGCAACGCCCAAAGTTGAGTCGAATCGATTCAAAATTCACAGTGCCCTTTTCGCATCTCGACCATTTATAAACCGAAATGCAAACTTGTATTTGAATGAAATTTGATACATAGACACTAAGTAAATGAAAATCTAACGCCAGTTTCAAACTTTGGTTTTGCGCATGCGCAGTGCCAACTTTTTTTATTTATGGACGCATTTAAATGAAATTTGATACATAGGCGCTTGGAACAAAGGAAAATCTAACGTTAATTTCAAAATTTAGATTTGCGCATGCGCAGCTCCAACTTTCTTATTTAGAAAAGCATTGAAATGAAATTCTTCTTATAAACAAAAATTGAAGTAGCACGTCAAAAATGGATTGCACGTGTGCAACGTTATCTGTCATATTTGTGGCCGGATTTTTACGATTTTAACAGAAGTTGCATCTTACAAATTGGGAAAGAATGCAAGTGGAAATGCGCCTTCTGTAAATCGTTTACGATTACTTTTTAACTTGTCATTATTACGTGGTAGTTTTAAAGTAGGTAAAGCATCTGGTTTCAAATGTCCGCTGTTTTTAAAAGTAGGTATAATTAAGAAGTCGTTCCCTTAGAGGTGCTTCAAAACGGCTGGCTTCAAAATGTTCAGATATAGAATTAAACAGCAATGGAAAGACTTAAATACACCACTTAAAATGTAACACCATTTTTCAAGTTAATTTTGTCCTTAGGACGACTTGCAACAATCAATTTTTGAGAAGTCTTCAATTTTCGGAAATCGGAAGTATTTTATTATTTCCGTTCTTTTGGTTTTTCTATTAGAATTTCGCCATTGAGCCACTACACAACCTGGCATTTTGGAATTTTCACTAATGATTAATTAGCTATCAACAAATTAACGCTAAAGCTCGTAGATACAAGTTGCAAAACTGTCACGCGGGACATGTGTACTGGATCGGGCCGTGCATAAACATTTGAATTTTGGCGCCACACGTTCGCAGGTGACGTAAAGCGCAGTAGAAAACGTGTTTGAGAAAAATAATGAGCATATACCGTGTGTATGTGTACCTATCGTGGTAGTGTTATATGGTAAATTAATTCGACATTATTTCTAAACCAAACATTTGACGAAAACGTCAAAACATAATGGGCTATTTTTATGCGCTTGTGATATTACTGTTGATTAGGCCGGATGTCCACCGAATCGGGGCGACGAAGATCGGTCCAACTGTAGTCGTATCCAGATTGATCGGGCCGACTAAAATATTGGCAATTCACATAGATAGGTCGATCGCCTTTCGAACGATTTTTATCGGGTTGACAGTTGACATTCATCTTCGATAAAATGTCAAGTGAAGACGAAACAGTTGTCGCATGCTTTGCACCACAGGGGAAAGAAAATTCGCCGCCACAGTTATTGGCCCGTATGAATAAAAGTAAGCATGTGCTTATACTTGCAAAATTCAAAGTAAATACTCGTAAGTGCTCCTTCCCACTGGGCGACTTAGCAGCGCTGCTGAGCAGCAGGACAGGACGCAGTGCAGTGCTGCTAAACAGACCAGCATGAAGGGGCAGTTACGAGTATTTACTTTGAATTTTGCAAGTATAAGCATTTGCTTATTTTTATTCATACGGGCCATTGGGTACATCCGTACATAACTAATAATAGAAACAGAGGTGCTTTCATTTGTGCCCGTGAACTTGCGAATCATGAACAAAAATTTAAATGTATGTCCAAGAGTAGTTTTTTTTTCCTTTTGGCTGACCTTGCTCGACCATTAACTGCCAGAAGGGACACCAATTACATCTGTGACGGTAGAAGAAGGTTTATCAGCACTTTTGATTATTATGACGATTGACGACACGACAAATGATCGTGCAAGAGCGTCGCGTCGGGCGAAAATAGTCGGTTGCGATTTCGATCGGTCCCGACAAAAATCTAGCCTGTGGACAGGATTCAATAGAAGCGCACGCGCGCGATCTTTATCGGACGATTCAAATCGCACCGATCTTGGTCGTTCCGATGCGGTGGACATCCGGCCTTAAATTTCATTGTATGTATCAAGTTAGGTCATCATATTGCTATGGCCCCACGTTGGGCGCCAAATAAAAAATGCTGTGTATACCGGTCCGTAGGCCAAAAAGACCGTACACAACACATAAACAAACCTAGCTAGCTCAAACCCTTATACTTCTCGGAACAAAACTTCTCCCCAGCACAGAGGAGGAATTCGACTCTTTTCTCATATAGTGGGTTAGACCAAAGACCTTAAATTCCAAATCGATCCTAAGAATTTTGATTAAATAAAATGGACCTTGGGCAAGTATTCAAAGAAAACAGTAAATGAAATCGTTCGAAAGCCAAACACAGAAATTAATGTGAGAATTACAAATTTCAGTTTTAATGGTTACACAATAAAAAAAAAACAAGAAAACAAACAATTACTTATTACAAAGAAAAAAACTACAAATAAAACATAATCTTACTTACATTCGGTACATGTCCAAACTGCTAATCCCTCGGCTAATCCCAATACGTTACACACACAAAAAAAACAACAAAATTCAAATTTACACAAAACAACACTCAAGTCGGCGCCGACACACCTTAGTGACGCACTTTTCTGAAGGTCTAAACTTCCAAAAACTGCCGCAAACTCGGCATGTTAGTCCGTAAAACGGAAACTACACAAACTTCCAAAACTGCTGGCCTCTACACAAATCCAAACTACTGCGGTAACTCGCCGAAACGAAATAAACAAACTTCACTCAATTCAAAAACTGCCCTGACTGGCAGCAAACTGACGATAAAAACTTCAAAACTCCCAAAACAAACTTTAAACTTCAACAAAATGTGGATCTGCTCTTAACTCGCAAGACGCTGATTTCAAAACAAAGAAACGTAGTTCTGCGTTGACTCTGGCAAAAAGCCTTTCCTCTTCTCCGTCCGTTCTATTTAAGGTGGAAACCCTTCTTCCAAAATACAAATTAAAACAGCCAATGATAAGCAGTTTCCAACAGAAAATATCCCTCACTAACTAAGTTAAACTAGAGGTAGAAATTATTTTTATAATC